TATAATTTATTAGTATTTATATTTTAGATGATAAGTACTTTAAAACATATTAAATTCCATCTTACTTTAATTAATTTAAAATTTTGCTTAATTTTTTAAAATTCAGAAAATTTAGTTAAATTTTTTATTTTTGATAAAATTATATATTTTTGAAATTACAATAAATTAAATTATAAAATATCAAAATTAGATTTTTTAATAAATAACTAAAAAATCTATTTCATAATAAGTGAATTCAAACGACGGAATTTTATGAATAGCATCTTGTTATACCAAAATATTATATTTATAAATTTAAAAATAATAATAAATATATCTATTTATGTATCTATATTTTAGATTAATTTATATGATTACAGAATATTAAAATATAAAACATATTATATTAAAGTATTTAAATATATTTATATTATTTGTTTTATTTCACCACTTTTTTATCATTAATGCTATATTTTAAAAGCAATTAATCTTTTAGATTTAAGGATCTTTATTTTCAATTATTTTGATTTTTTGATGTTGTTGTTCCTTTTAATGTAAATTAGTGTAAATTACTAAAAAAATAAATAGATAGAATAATAAAATATTAAATTTTAAATCTTTAAATAATAAAAATGTAAACAGAAAAAAATAAATAAATAAATAAAATAAAAAGTTAATAAATAAATTAAAAGCGTAAGTTAGTTAATTTGTTTTAAATTCATTTTTATATTCAAAATATCTCAATGCAAAACAAATAAACTATTTTTACTTTAAATTAAGCACCAAATTTGAGAGATGAGTGCACTTTCGAAAACTATTACCTAGGCCTGATAAATCTTCTTCACGAATATAATTAAACCTTTTTAATATTAAAGAAAAAATATATAGTTAATTAGAAGGAAAAAATTAAAAAATAAGAAATAATAAGAAATTAATTAATAATAAAAGCAAAAGTTGAAAATGAAAAAAAGAATTAAATTAACAAATAAATATATAAAAAAACAAACAGGATAAAAAAAGAAAAATAAATCAAATAAAAAAGCTGTTTTATTGTTTTAAATTCATTTTTATATTCAAAAATATAATAATCAAAAACAAATAAACTGTTTTTACTCAAGATGCAGTGTCAAATTTTAGAGATTAGTGCATTATCCTAAATTAGAAGCTAGTCCTAATGCACCAATTACACAAATTTAGTTTCCACTTTTGGATATTGAAAAAAATATAAATAAATAATTAATTAGTTAATTAGAAGGAAAAAATAAAGAAAAAATATTAAATAATAAGAAATCAATTAATTAATAATAAAAACAAAAGTTGAAAATTAAAAAATGAATTAAATTAACAAATGAATAAATAAAAATAAAAAAAAAACACACAAGCAGAATATAAAAAAAAGAAAAATAAATCAAATAAAAAGCTATTAAATAAATAAAAAAATTAAAACAGTTAATTATAGTGTTTTAAATTCATTTTTAAATTCAAAATATCACAGTCCAAAACAAATAAACTGTTTTTACCTTAGATTTAGTGTCAAATTTGAGAGATTAGTGCACTTTCCTAAACCAGAACATAAACCTGATGCACCTATTGCACCAATTTAACTCCAACTTTTTAAAATTTAAAAAAAATAAATATTTAATTAGTTATTTGAAGAAAAAATAAAATAATAAGAAGTTAATTATTAATAATAATAATAATTTGAAATGAAAAAGAGAGTTAAATTAACAAACAAACAAAATAAATAAATAAATGCAAAGCAGAATTATAAAAGAAAAATAGATCAAATAGAAAGCTCATAAATAAATTAAAAATTTGATATTCAAAAATATTACAATAAAAAAAAAATAAACTATTTTTACCTTAGATCAAGTGTCAAATTTGAGAGATTAGTGCATTTTCCTAAACCAGAACCTAAGCCTGAAGCACCTTCATCGCAAATTTATTTTTGCCTTTTTAAATATTGAGGAAAAAATATAAATTTAATTAGTTGGTTAGAAAGAAAAAATGAGTTAAATGAACAATAAACAAACAAATAAATAATAAAAAAAAACACAAGCAAAATAAAAAAATCAAATAAATCAAATAAAAATCTAATAAAAAAGTAAAATAAAAAGAAATAGTTTTATTGTTTTAAATTAGTTTTTATATTCAAAAAGATCACAATTAAAAACGAATAAACTATTTTTACTAAAGATAAAGTGTCAAATTTGAGAGATTAGGGCACTTTCCTAAACCAGACCCTAAGTCAGATATACCTTCATCACAAATTTAATTTCCCCTTTTTAAATATTTAATTAACTTGTAAGAAGGTAAAAATGAAAAAAATATGAAATAATAAGAAATTAATTAATAGTAAAAACAAAACTTGATAATAAAAAAATGAGTTAAATTAACAAAAAATCAAGCAAATAAATAAATTATAAAAAGAAATCGTAACAAAAAAATAAAAATAAATCATATAAAAAACTAATAAATAAATTAATTAATAGACTACAATCCAAAATAAACAAACTGTTTTTACGAAAGATTTAGTGTCAAATTTGAGAGATTAGAGTACTTTCCTAAACCAAAACCTAAGCCTGAAGCACTTTCATCACCAATTTAATTTCCTCTTTTTAAATATTCAAGAAAAAATATAAAACTAATTAGTTTTCTAGATGGAAAAAATCAAGAAAATATTTGAAATAGTAAGAAATAAGTGATTTAATTAACTAATTAACAATAAAATCAAAACTTTAAAATTAATTAATAAGTTAAATTAGCAAAAATACACGAATAAATAAATAAAAAAAACACAAGCAGGGTATAAAAAAAGAAAAATAAATAAAATAAAAAGCTAATAAATAAATTAAAAGATTTAGTAATTTATTTTGTTTTAAATTTATTTTTATATTCAAAAATATCACAATCAAAAACAATTAAACTGTTTTTACAAAAGATTTAGAGTCAGATTTGAGAGTTTAAAGCACTTTCCTAAGCTTAAAGCTAAGCCTGATACTCCAATTGCACCAATTTAATTATCACTTTTTAAATATTGAAGAAAATATTTTTAAATATTTAATTAGTTAAAGAGAAAATAAGAGAATAAATATAAAATAATATTAAATAAATTAATTAAGTTAAAATAAAAACAAAAGTTGAAAATGAAAACATAAGTTAAATTATAAAAAAAAAAATAAAAAACAAAGAAAAAAATAATAATAAAAAGAAAACAGCAGAAAAAAATTAAATAAAATAAAAATAAATTAAAAGATTTAATTATTGAGTGAGTTTTAAATTCATTTTTATAAATTTTTTTTACCTTAGATCAAGTGTCAAATTTGAGAGATAAGTGCACTATCCTAAACCAGAGCCTAAGCCTAATGCACCTGCATCACCCATTTATTTTTCCCTTGTTAAGTATTGAGGAGAAAATATAAAGTTAATTAATTAATTAATTAATTAGAAGGAAAAAATGAAGAAAAATTAAAATATTAAGAAATTAATTAATTAAAAATATAAAATGAAAAATCAAAATTTATATTCAATATCACAAACAAAAACAAATAAACTGTTTTTACTAAAGATTTAGTGTTAAATTTTAGAGGTTAGTGCACTTACCTAAACCAGAACCTAAGCCTGTTACACCAATTTCACCAATTTGATTTCCACTTATAAAATATAGAAGAAATATTTATAGTTAATTTGTTAGTTGGAAGAAGTAAACTGTTTTTACTAAAGATAAAGTGTCAAATTTGAGAGATTAGTGCACTTTCCTAAACCAACACCTAAGTGTGAAGCACCTTCATCATTAATTTAGAAGGGCTAAGCGGCTCGAGTGGGCGAGTCGGAGGGTCTTAGCAGTGATATCGGGGGTTCGAATCCTATACCGCCCCCTTTATTTCGAAAAATTCCATGTAAAAATGTGAATGTTACCAGCGGTCTCCTTGGTAGGAGGGAAGGGCCAAATCTGATAGGTGGTAAAGAGGAGGCCCCATTCTGAACAGAAGATCTGGAATACAAATGGGAAGCGAGCATAATGCGTAGTCAAATCATGGAAGATTAGTAGAAATGCCATTAGGGTGTAGGTGACCCTTCCCTTCTAATATATTACCCACAATTATATATAAATAAATTGGTATACGTATAATAATAATGTATAAGTAATTATATATAGGGCCCCTATCCCGAGTGCATGTAACCATGTGCGAGTATGTATGTATGTATCATTAATTTAATTCCAACTTTTAAAATATTGAAGAAAAAATATATAGTTAATTTGTTGGTTAGTAAGAAGGAAAAAATGAAGAAAAAATATGAAATTAATTATTTAATAATAAAAACAATACTTGAAAATGAAAAAATAAGTTAATTGAAAAAAATAAAGAAATAAATAACTAAATAAAATAATAAATAAAAACATCAGCCGAATAAAAAAATGAAAAATAAATTATAAAAAATTAATAAATTAAAAGAGTTAATAATATTGTTTTAAATTCATTTTTATATTCAAAAATATCATGATACAAATAAACTATTTTTACAAAAGATCTAGTGTCATATTTGAAAGATTAGAACACTTCCCTAAACCAGAAGCTAAGCCTGATGCACCAATTGCACCAATTTTATTTCCACTTTTTAAAAATGAAGAGAATATAAAAAAATATTTAATTAGTTAGAAAGAAAGAAAATATGAAGAAGAAATATGAAATAAATTAATTAAGTTATAATAAAAGCAAAAGTTGAAAATAAAAAAATGAGTTAAATTAATGTACAAACAAATAAAAAAACACAAGCAGAATAATAAAAAAAAGTAAATCAAATAAAAAGCTAATCAATAAATTAAGAGAGTTAGTTATATTATTTTAAATTCATTTTTATATTCATAAATATCAACAAGTAAACTGTTTTTACCATAGATTAAGTGCCAAATTTGAAAGTTTAGTGCATTTTCCTAAACTAAAACCTAATTCTGATACACCTTAATCACCAATTTAATTTCCCCTTTTTAAATATTGAAAGAAAAAGTACATAATTAATTGAAGGAAAAAATAAATAAAGAAAAAAATTAAAATAATTGGAAATTAATTCATAAATAATAAAAGTAGAAGTTAAAAATAAAAAATGAACTAAATTAAAAAACCAAAAAACAAAGAGATAAATAAATAAATCAAATAAAAATCTAATAAATAAATAAATTAATTAAAAGATTTAGTAAGTTATATTGTTTTAAATTCATTTTTATATTTAAAAATATCCCAATCAATCACAAATAAATTATTTTTACTAAAGATTTAGTGCCAAGTTTGAGAGGTTAGTACACTTACCTAAACCAGAACCTAAGTCTGATCCACCAATTGCACCAATTTAATTTCCCCTTTTTAAATATTGAAGAAAAAAATTTTAAGTTAATTAGTTAGTTAGAAGGAAAAAATGAAAAAAATATGAAATAATAAGAAATAAATTAATTAATAATAGGAGAAATAAATAAATAATAAATAAACACAAGGTAAAAAAAAAAAATTGAAATAAAAAGTTAATAAATCAATTAAAAGAGTTAGTTAGTTAGTTAGTTAGTTAGTTAGTTATTTTGTTTTAAATTCATTTTTATATTCATAAATATCACAATTCAAAACAAATAAACTGCTTTTACCTTAGATCAAGTGCTAGATTTGAGAGAATAATGCACTTTCCTAAACCAGAAGCTAAGTTTGATGCGCCAATTCCATCAATTTAATTTCCCCTTTTTAAATATTGAAGAAAAAATATAAAGTTAATTAGTTAGTTAGTAAGAAGGAAAAAATGAAAAAAATATGAAATAATAGGAAAAAAATTAATTAATAATAGGAAAAATAAATAAATAAATAAATAAATAAACACAAGGTAAAAAAAAAAATTGAAAAAAGATTTAGTAATTTATTTTGTTTTAAATTCATTTTTATATTCATAAATATCACAATTCAAAACAAATAAACTGCTTTTACCTTAGATTAAGTGCTAGATTTAAGAGATTAACACACTTTCCTAAACCAGAAGCTAAGTTTGATGTGCCAATTGCATCAATTTAATTTCCCCTTTTTATTTATTGAAGAAAAAATATAAAGTTAATTAGTTAGTTAGTAAGAAGGAAAAAATGAAGAAAAATAATTTTAATAAATAAATAAATAATCATAATAAAAATTGAAGAAAAATTAACTTAAAATAATTAAAAAATATTTTTATTAATAGAATTGAAAGAATAGAGATGATAATTTAAATTTGAAAAATATTAAAGTAATATGAAAATGAAATAAAAAAACTTTATTAATAATATTATATTTAAATTAAATATACTGATTATTCAGATCAATGTGGAGAACTTAAAAAAATTAAAGTGATGAGCTTAAAAACTTTTGTTATTATTAAAAATAATTTAAATAATATTAATAAAAAAATAAATATGTACTTCTTCTAGATTGTTGTAATAGTTATTCTATTATAACATTTATTTTTTTCAATAATATTGAAAATAAATTTATGGAAATTTAATTAAATATAGGTATATTAATTAATTATATCAAATTAATTTAGAAAAAACAAACAAAAGAATAAATCAAATAAATATAAATTTATAAATGTGTTTGTTTTTTGGAGGAGAAATTACTAAAAAGTTAAAATTTCGTATAACTTTAATTATTAAATCTTAATATTTCTATCAGTGATGTGATTAAAAACGAGCCGAAAATTTATAAATTTCTAGCTTTGAATCTAAAAAAATTTTTCTCTTAAGCTTGCCGAGCTTTTTAAATCAACCGAGCCAAGCTAAAACATTTAATTTTCCTTCCTTAAACTCTAAAAATTAAATAAATATTATTCAAAGATAATTTTGCCATTCCATAATCAAATAAATATCTAATTTTTTCATGTAATATGTATGATTGATAATTATTACAGCAGCAGTTCAAATGAGCTCTCTGATTGATAATTTTTGATTGTTTGTTTCCCTTTGTTAATTCTCTGAGTTGTCAGTATTCTTTAAATTAAATAAATAAATAAATAATATTTTCCATAATTAATATTCATGGAATAGAAATCTTTTTTCTATAAATTCTTTATTCAATATTACATTACATAATTGATTCTATGCTCTCATAGAGAAATTCATCTCGTAATTTACAGTTTCATCTAATTTGCCCTTTTACTTACTCATTTAGAATTTTATTCCTTTTTCATCTCTTCATGTTTCTATGAAAATAATTCAAGTTACTTATTAGAGTCTTCTAATTCAGTAATTGAAGATAAATTTTTGTTTGCTCTTAAAATTTCTTTACTCAAAGATTTTTGTGGTTGAATCAAAATAGGTTAAAAAAGCATCTATTTTTTTGCTAAAAACAGCAAACTCTCTCTATTCAAGACACTAAATTCCATAAATTTTCTTTAATTAAAGTATAAAATTAAAGTTTTCAGAAAAATCTAAATTAAGGTATATGACAAACTCAAGCTAATCAAGTTATCGAAATTAAGCAGACTGGTTACATATATACATATGATGTGAGAAGAATTTCAATTAATTTTTATGTAAAATTTGATTTCTAAGTAGTCTTCTTGGTTTTTTTATTTTTTCTATCAGAATTTACCTGATTTATATACAGAATATTTTATTAAAACAAAATGATGCCTTTTAATTAATTTTTTATGCAAAACAAATTTTAAGTGGAATGCAAACCATGAAATTTTTGTATAGCATCATGCTATAATTAAAGATAATATAAATATTCCTAAAATTACAGAGCTAAAACATTAAAATCTACTTATAAACATTATTTTTAAAATATTTAAGAACATTAACTACTAGATTTTTCTCAAATATGACTAAATAAATAACTGGCCATCTCTAATTCCTACTATATATACTTTTAAGTGTATGTTTTAAATACAATTATTAAGTTTAAATAGTGAATATTAAATTAATTTTTCTGTGATATCTCTTCATAAAACCAAATATATAAATTAATATTTGATAATTAATTATTATATTAATTTGTTCTTTTTATCAATTTATAATTAATTAATTAAATTTCATAAATTACTATTCAATATATTTGAGAAAAAAATAAATAAATGATATAATAAATTAAAAAATATAAAAAATTAGAAGAAGTAATTATTAATTTTTTAATTAATATCCTTTAAATTTATATAAATTAATAAAAAAAGTTTTTAAGCTCTTCACTTTTATCTCATTAGGTTCTCCATATTAATCTCTAGTAATATTAATTAAAAAAATTACTTTTATTATTATTAATATTTTTTGTACATTTAATTTTCAATTTATTTAAATAAATAATTTTTATAAAAGAGATTATCATCATTATTTATTGATTTTTATAAAAAAAAAAATTTTTTAGCTATTTTAACAAAATTTTCATTTCAATTTTTTTTTATTTATTATTTGATATTTTTTCTTCGTTTTTTACTATTAAAACTTACATTTAATAAAACAATTTATTTTTTTTACATTGTAATATTTTTAATTATAAAAGTTAATTTAAAACTTAAATCTCTTTTAATTTATTTTATTTGTTTTCCTTTTTCTTTTTATTATGATTTCTTATTTTTTCATTCTTTGTTAATTTTATAAATTATTAATTAATCTTATTATTTCATATTTTTTCTTCATTTTATCCTCCTAATTAACTAGAGTAAAATGCCTATTTAATTTATATTAGGCGAAATGTAATATATCTTAATAATATAATAAATAAAGCTAAATTAGCTTAAAGTAGCTTTATTTTTGAGTTTTTAGAAAGCTTTAAATTCACAAAATGTAAAATTTGAATAAATATATATTATATATTCTTATAATATATCATTTATTTTGAAAAAATATAAATTTTGAAAACCTAGGATCAAATTTGACACTTGAACTTCGGTAAAAACAGTTTATTTGTTTTGGATTATGATATTTTAAATTATAAAAACTAATTAAAAACAATAAAGCTCTTTTTTCTTTTTCTTTTTATTGTGCTTGCTTTTTTTTTGTTCTTTCTTTGTTAATTTTGCTCATCATTTTATTTTTGAATTTTGCTTTTATTAATTAATTAATCTTACTTTTTCATATTTTTTCTTCATTTTTTCCTTCTAATTAACTATTTAATGATATATTTTTTCTTCAATATTTAAAAAGTTTGAATTATATTGGTGATGAAGGTGCATCAGGCTTAGGTTCTGCTTTAGCAAAGTGCATTAATCTCTCAAATTTGACACTTGATCTTTGGTAAAAACAGTTTATTTGTTTTGGATTGTGATATTTTAAATTATAAAAACTAATTAAAAACAATAAAGCTCTTTTTTCTTTTTCTTTTTATTATACTTGCTTTTTTTTTTGTTCTTTCTTTTTTAATTTAGCTCATCATTTTATTTTCTACTTTTGCTTTTATTATTAATTAATTAATCTTATTATTTCATATTTTTTCTTCATTTTTCCTTCTAATTAACTATTTAATCATATATTTTTTCTTTAATATTTAAAAAGTTACAATTATATTCATGATGAAGGTGCATAAGGCTTAGGTTTTGCTTTAGCAAATTGCATTAATCTCTCAAATTTGACACTTGATCTTGGGTAAAAACAGTTTATTTGTTTTGGATTGTGTTATTTTAAATTATAAAAACTAATTAAAAACAATAAAGCTCTTTTTTCTTTTTCTTTTTATTATACTTGCTTTTTTTTTTGTTCTTTCTTTGTTAATTTAGCTCATCATTTTATTTTCTACTTTTGCTTTTATTATTAATTAATTAATTAATCATATTATTTCATATTTTTTCTTCATTTTTTTACTTCTAATTAACTATTTAATCATATATTTTTTCTTCAATATTTAAAAAGTTACAATGAAATTAGTGCAAGGGGTATATCACGCTTAGGTTCTGCTTTAGCAAATTGCATTAATCTCTCAAATTTGACACTTAATCTTCGGTAAAAACAGTTTATTTGTTTTGGATTGTGATATTTTAAATTATAAAAACTAATTAAAAACAATAAAGCTCATTGAATTAATTTGATAGCTTTTATTTGATATATTTTTATTCCACTAATATTATTTTATTTATTAATTTAAAGAATAATTTTTAATTTAAAAGTTTATTCTATTTTGATATTTATTTAAAATTTACACAAATTTATTATAAAAGTTTTAGGTCAATGAATGAATCATACAAATTCATAATATTAAGCAAGTATCTTAAATCAAAAAGATTAGTTGTCTTTAATTTCTAATGATAAACAACTGGTGAAAAAGGATGAATAAATATAAAATGTTTGAATAATATATATTTTATTATTTAATATTTTGAAAAAGAGTTTTTAACCTAAAATATAAATAGATAGATATATAGATTTTATCATTGATTTTATATTTATAAATATCATTCATATTTTTGTAAGTAAATAAATTATTTATAAAAAATAAAAAAATTAAAAATTAAATTTACTTTAATAAATTAAATCCTCTTAAGCAAACTCACCAGTTTCTCCTAAAACGATCAAATAATTTGAAACTTTTAGTGTAATATTATATCTTATTAAATTATATAAATGCTAAGCTTTTATCTGCCAGTTATATTTTAATCTTAAATATTATGACCTTACAAAATAAAAATACTACAAATGCAAATTTAAATTCTAGAATTATTTTAATTATAAAATCTCATTCATTTTTGAATGAAAAATTTCCATTAAAAAACAATATGTCCCTGCTGTGACATCTCTCCCCTTCCCCTGTAAATTCAAATTGGTATCATATTTTTAAAATCCTTATCTAAAAATAATTTAATATCATCTTTATTCTACCATATTAATAGATGGTATACATAATTAAATTTAAACTTTTTAAAATTATAAAATAAATTATTTTCCTCCCTATTTTTAACTTAATGAAAATTGATTAGTCTGTCTTTGGTTTGTAAAAATAATTAAATTCTATTGCTGATTTAATAAAAGTTTTTTGTTTGATTTTTTATTTAGTAAAAAATATTTGGATGGAAGCAAAATTAAAATTGATGCTAGTGATTTATTTAACTTGCTTGAAAAATAAGTTTTCAAACTAAAAAAGCTGATTTTTTTGAATATCTTAAATGAAATCTCAAATATATAATTAAGTATAAAAGCAATTAGTTTCTATTTTTTAACGACTAAGTTAAGCAAGCTTAGCTTTGAAATGTAAATTTAAGAATTTATTTTTAATTTATAAAAATAAAATATTATATTAAAAAATAAAAAATATAGGATTTTACTATTTTATTTTTTTTTTGAATATTTTAAATGAAATCTCAAATATATAATTAAGTATAAAAGCAATTAGTTTCTATTTTTTAACTACTAAGTTAAGTAAGCTTAGCTTTAAAATGTAAAATATAAAATTTAAGAATTTATTTTTAATTTATAAAAATAAAATATTATCTTAAAAAATAAAAAACATAGGATTTTACTATTTTATTTTAATATATATTTTTTATATTTATTTTATATAAATAAATTAATTAATTATTAATTATAAGATGGCAACAATAAAATAGGCTAACCAAATAAATTTTAAGTATTTAATCAGCATTTATTTTATCTCCATTAAAATCCAATAACTCCAGTTGAGGGAATTTAGCTAATAGCTTAAGTTTCAAGATAGCCAAGAAAATTAGTTGTAATTATTCCTCCTGTTCCCAAAGTGATAGAAAAATTATATTTTGTTGGCATCTGCTAATATAAAGAATTCCTGCATCTATATCAATAGCAGGATCTATAGATTTTAAACAGAGTTACTAATCAGAGTACTCATTTTCTTTTATATCTAGACTTTTAATAGAGCAAATAGTCGCAAATCTTAATAGAGATAGGTTAGCAACAAGTAAAACAATTGATCACATTTTATTTTTTTTAATGCTGATTAAAATTAATTTGTTTGATTTGATAAATCTTTATTAATATATTTCTTTTATAAATTGATTTTGAATAATTTATTCGCTTAAATTAATTTGATAGATACTTTGACTGATTATTCAAAATTGATGAATATTTAATAGCTGTTATGGATTTAACAAATAAATTAATCTATTTATTTATTGTAATATTTTTGATCAAATTAAAAAAAATTTGAACAAATTTTTGATCAGCTAGCACTAATCTAAAAAATATCTATCTAGTATTTTATTTAATAATTTATTTAAAACAAAAAATAGTAAAGTCAAAAATAAATGAAAGTTGTATTACTTTAACTGTCTTATTAACTGTTTCTTCTTGATAAATTTACTTCACTGATGTTAATAACTAACATTCTACCTATAAAATCGAGAAGCTACAAATAATTTATAGCTAAAATTACTATTATACTTCCCCTAATTCTAGAATTAATTTAGATAGATTCAGGAATATTCAAGTAAGCTACATCTTGTATTTTTTACATAACTTACTTTTCTTTTGACTTACAAGTTACTCTTCTTACTTTCAGCAAAAATGATATTTAAAGCATTCCCTAACAAAATATTCAACTCTGTAATAATACTATAACCTTGCTATGTCACTTTACCATTCCTGCATCTTTAAAATACACTAATTTCTGCTTTAATCAAACTTTAATTTATTGTTAAATTCTACAGCAATACTTTTAAAATGCGTGAGTCTTCAATTTGGATGCTCCCAGATAACAAATAACCTTAGCTTAGAATCTTAAATATTATAATTTTTGGTTTTGAGTGAAATTAATTTAATCAAATCAAATCTATTCACTTATCAGAAAAAGAAAAATGTTTAGTTAAATACACTTATTTATTTTAATAAAAACACATTTTTTTTCTGGTGAGGAAATTATTAAAAAGAAAATTGAATTTTATATATAAATTATTATAGCTTTTTATTATTATTATTTTTAAAATTTGATATTTAACATTCAATTTATCTTAAATCTAAATATTTTAAAAAGCTTAAACTAAAAAATAATTCTTATTTTTTATTTTATATTTTATTTTATGGTTTGAGAGAAAAGAATAAAATTAGCTTCTCAAACGTTTAAAGAAAAAATGTAATAAATAATAATATTTCTGATGTAAGCAGTTTTGTGCTTATACTAATTACTCAAAATAGATGATTTTTTCAATTAATTACTATTTAATTGTCAAATTAATCTTTATATTCCAATATTTTTAGTTTTATATTTAATAAATCTTTTATTAAATAATAAATCATCTTAAGTCATTTTCTGACTAGTACCAAATTGATTTAAAGGATCTAAAATGACTATTTATACTTCTTTCTATTTAAGAATTGACTTATTAATTAATTAATTTATCTAACTATCTAACTTCTTATACTGCATTCAGAAGAAACAAAATTTTATAAATTAACAATAATTAAGAAGATAAAAAAAGTACAAAAAAAAAAATGAAGGCTTTATTCGCTTTAGCTGTCTTATTAGTTACCGCTTCTTGCTAAGTTTACCCCATGAATGTGGGTAATGAATGCTCTACTGCTACTTGCTCTATAAGCTATTGGTAATACAATAATACCAATTTCAATTATACTTGCCCTGAGGCTGGAAAAAGTATGGCTAGATTCAGAATTGCTCAAGGAAACTACTTCTTAGATTTTGTTGCATATAATCCATTAACTTCTGACTCACCTGTTACTATTCCCCTCTTTTACAATCCTAATCCTAATTAAAGTGGTCTCTAATATTACTATTCTCTCTAATAAGGTCACAACTTTGTTATCTTGAATTGCACCCTTACTGCTGCTAAATAATTAACTAGCCTCTGCTCTAAGCACGCTTTAGTTGGTGGTAAGATTTACAAAGATGTTTTCCAAAATGCATGTGCCTTCGGTTTGGATGCTCCTAGATACGCTTTCTTACAATAAGAAATACCATTGGAATTCGAGTCTTCTATTTGATTTGATTTGATGAATACAAAATAATATATGTATAAATAATAATATTAAAAATATCTCTATTAGTAAGTAAATAAATAAATATACAAATATTATTTTTTGTTTGCTATTATTGAACTTTAGAAATCTAAATTATTTGATTGATTAAATTATTTAATTTTTCTAAACATTTTGCAATTAAAATCCTTGTATTAACATAGAGATTTCAGCTATTTACTAATTGTAAACAATATTATGTTTTTTGAATTATATTAATATTACAATATTAATAAAATATTATTGCTAATTTTAACTAATTAATTAATTTGTTATATTATTTGTTATGAAAATTTTGCTATTTAATATATTAAGAAATATCATATGATGTACCTAATTTTTAATTTTACCAAAAATTTTTAAAGGTAAAGTTTTCAGAAGAAGAAATAAAGATAATTTAGATTCTTAGATACCTTGAAAATGAATGAGTTATATTATATTTTTAATTGTATTTACTGATAAACTATTTGCTAAATTGCAAAAAAAATTTTTTAATATTTTTATAAAATGCTTCTTTTTAATGTTTTTTTATTAAAATTATGGTTTTTTGTTTATTTGTTTTTATTGCTGAGCTATTTTTTTAGATTTCTGATAATTAATCATTTTCTATTTTCACTTTTTAAAAAAATAATCTTAGTTATTTTGGTTATTAATTTTCCTAATTTTACTATTCTGATAAGAAATATGATTAAAATGAATATCAAGAAATATAAGAAAACAAAATAAATCTAATCTGAATTTGATTAATTCTTAGGTAATTAACACAAATATTTTTTGATGACAAAAAAATATATTATTAATTAAATTTTAGCTAATAGCTAAGGGTTAAATTAAAGTTGGTTAGAAAGTACTAATTAAATAAATATGTTATTTTCTATTATTCAAATATTTTATATTTATTCATCCCTTTTCACCACTTGTCTTGTCTGTCTATCACCACCATGAGAAATTTATTTTTAAGTAAACTAATCTTTTTGATTTAAGACACTTGCATTTTACTTTCAAATTTTATGATTCATTGATTTAGTTTGTCCTTTTATATTATATTAAATTAAAACGCACGAAAAAAAATGAAATATTATTTAATTTATTTTTTTAATTCAAAAATTTAAACTAAAATATTAAAAAACATTATTTTTTAAGGAAAAATAGTACAACCAAAACAAATAAACTAAATTTACTAAAGATGAAGTTCCAAATTTGAGAGAATAGTGCAATTCGCTAATGAAGAACCTAAGTCTAAAGCACCTTAGTCACCAATTTAATTCTCACTTTTTAAAAATTAGAGAAAGATTTTTATTAATTAGCAACTTAGAAGAAAAAAATGAAAAAAAAATATGAAATAAATTAACAAATAAATAAATAAATAATAAAAGTAAATGTTGAAAATAAATAAATAAATGAGTTAAATTAAGAAAGATAAATGAAGAAAAAACACAAGTACAATTAAAAATGAAAATGAAAAGTAAATCAAAAAAACAGCTTTTAAATAAATTAAAAAAGCATTTTTGTTTTAAATTCATTTTAATAAGGAAAAATATCACAATCCAAAACAAAAAAACAAACAAATAAACTGTTTTTACCGAAGATAAAGTGTTAAATTTGAGAGATTAGTGCAATTTGCAAAAGCAATACCTAAGCCTGAAGCACCTTAATCACCAATTTAATTGTCACTTTTTAAATATTGAAGAAAAAAATATAAAATAAATCAGTTATTTAGAAGGAAAAAATGTAGAAATAATATGAAATAAATAATTGATAAATAAATATAAAAAGCAAATGTTGGTTGAAAATAAACAAATGAGGTAAATTAAAAAAGATAAAATTGTTTTAAGTAAGTTCCTTTTTATAAGGAAAAATATCAGAAATCAAAACAATTAAACTAACTGTTTTTACCTTAGATAAAGTATCAAGTCTGAAAGATTAGTGTAATTTGCTAAAGCAGAACCTAAGTCTGATGCCCCTATTGAACCAATTTTATTGTCACTTTTTAAATATTGAAGAAAAAATATATCATTAATTAGCTATTTAGTAGGAAAAAAAGAAGAAAAAATATGAAATAATAGGAAATGAATTAATAAATGATAAAACCAAATATTAAAAATAAACAAACGAGTGAGTGAAATTAAGATAGATGGAAGAAGCAAAAACACAAGAATAATAAAATAGTAAATCAAATAAACAGCTTATAAATAAATCAAAAGAGTTATTTTGTTTTAAGTTCATTTTAGTAAGGAAAAATATCACAATCAAAAACAAATAAACTTTTTTTACTTAAGATAAAGCAACAAATTTGAGATACTAGTGCAATTTGCTAAAGCAGAACCTAAGCCTGATGCACCTGCTGCACCAATAAAATTGCCACTTTTTAAGTATTACAGAAAAAAAATATAATTAATTAATTGATTAATTAGTTATTTAGAAAGAATAATTGAAGAAAAAATATGAAATAATAAGATATGAATTAATAAATAATAAAAAAATGTTGAAAATAATCAAATAAATGAGTCAAATTAAGAAAGATAAATGAAGAAAAAACATATGTAAACTAAAAAAGAAAAATAAAAGTAAATAAAATAAAATAAACAGCTAATAAACAAATTAAAAGTGTTATCTTTTTAATTCATTTTATTAAGTAAAAATATCATAATCTAAAACAAAAAAACTGTTTTTACCTAAGATCAATTGACAAATTTGAGAGATTAGAACAATTTGCTAAACCAGAACCTAAACCTGAGGCACCAGCTGCACCAATTTAATTCCTACTTTTTAAATATAAAAAAAATATATAATTTATTAGTTATTTAGGAGGAAAAAATTAAGAAAAATATCAAATAATAAGAAATGAATTTATTAATAAATAATAAAAACATTGTTGAAAATAAACAAATGAGTTAAATTAAAAATGATAATTGAAGAAAAAAAGCACAAACAAATACAATAAAAAAATAGAAAATTAAATCAAATAAACAACTAATAAACAAATTAAAAGAGTTATATTCTTTTAAATTCATTTTAATAACGAAAAATATCACAAACAAACCAAAATAAATATACTAAATTTACTGAAGATAAAGTGTCAAATTTGAGAGATTAGTGCAATTTGCTAAAGCTGAACCTAAACTTGATGCACCTGTTGCACCAATTTAATTCCCACTTTTTAAATATTTAAGAAAAAAAATATAAATAATTAGTTATTTAGAAGGAAAAAATGGAACAATAAGAAATGAATTAATTAATTAATAATAAAAGCAAATAATGCTGAAAATAAACAAATAATTTAAATTAAGAAAGATTAAAGAAGAAAAACAAACACACAATAAAAAAGAAAAAAAAAAGTAAATCAAATATATAAATAAATTAAAAGAGCTCTATTGTTTTAAATTCAATTTAATAAGGAAAAATATCCCAATCCAATTCAATCCAAAACAAAAAAACAAACAAACAAACAAACTGTATTTACGCAAGATAAAGTTTCAAAATTGAGAGATTAGTGCAATTTGCTAAACCAGAACCTAAATCTGATGCACCTGTTGCACCAATTTAATTGTCACTTTTTAAATATTGAAGAAAAATATATTTATTATTAATTAGCTCTTTAGAAAGAAGAAAGAAGAAAAAATATGAAATAATAGGAAATGAATTAATAAATGATTAAACCAAAGGTTTAAAATAAACAAATGAGTTAAATTAAGAAAGATGGAAGTAGAAAAAACACAAGTACAATAAAAAATAAAAGTAAATAAACAACTAATAAACAAATTAAAAGAGTTTTATTGTTTAAAATTCGTTTTAATAAGGAAAAATATCACAATCCAAAACTAATAAACTGTTTTTACATAAGTAAAAGTGTCAAATTTGAAAGATTAGTGCAATTTGCTAAAGCAGAACCTAAGCATGATGAACCTTAATCACCAATTTAATTCCAACTTTTTAAATATAGAAATATATTAATATTATTAATTAGTTAGTTAGTTATTTAGATGGAAAAAATGAAGAAAAAAATATGAAATAAAAAGAAATGAATTGATAAATAATAAATACAAATATTGGAAATAAATAAATGAGTTAAATAAAGAAAGATAAATGAAGAAAAAAAACACAAATATAATAAAAAATAAAAGTAAATAAGCAGTCAATAAACAAATTAAAAGAGCCAGCCATGTTGCTTTAAATTCATTTTAATAAGGAAAAATATCACAATCCAAAACAAACAAACAAACAAACAAATAAACTGTTTTTACCGAAGATTAAGTTCCAAAATTGAGAGATTAGTGCAATTTGCTAAAGTAGCACATAAGCCTTATGCTCCAGTTGCACCAATTTAATTTTTACTTTTTAAATTTTGAAGATAAAAAAAAGATATAATTAATTATTTACTTTCAAGGAAAAAATATGAAATAATAAGAAAGAAAGGAAATAATAAAATATGTTCAAAATAAATAAATAAATAAATAAATAAATGTGTTTAATTAAGAAAACTAAATGAAGAAAAATAAGACGAATAGAATAAAAAATAAAAAGATAATAAATCAAATAAATAAATAGCTAATAAACAAATTAAAAGAGTTATATTCTTTTAAATTCATTTTAATAAAAAAAATATCACAGCCCAAAATAAAAAAACTAAATTTACTAAAGATAAAGTATCAAGGTTGAGAGATTCGTGCAATTAGCTAAAGTAGAGCCTAAGTCTGATGCACCTGTTGCACCAATTTAATTTTCACTTTTTAATTAATATTGAAGAAAAAAGGTATTATTAATTAGTTATTTAGAAGGATGAAAAAATATGATTTAATTGATAAATAATAAAACAAGTCTTCTTGAAAATAGACAAATGAATTAAATTAAAAATAATAAATGAAGAAAAAAAACTCAAGTACAATAAAAGATAAATAAAAAAGTAAATCAAATAAATAGCAAATAAACAAATTAAAAGAGTTAGTTATTTATATTCATTCTTTTAAATTTTTTTTAATAAGGAAAAATATCGCAATTCAAAATAAATAAACTTTTTTACCTAAGATCAAGTGTCAAATTTGAGAGATTAGTGCATTTTGCTAAAGCAGAACTTAAGTCTGATACATCTTTTGCACCAATTTAATTAGATCTAATTAAATATTGAAACAAAAAAAATATTTAATTAATTATTTAGAACAAAAAATATGAAATTTTTAAATAATAAAAGCAAATGTTTAAAATAAAAAAATAAGTTAAATTAATTAAGAAAGATAAACAAAAAAAAACATAAATATAATAAAAATCAGAAAATAAATCAAATAAAAAGCTAATAAAAACATTTTTAGAGTTTAAAAATATTGTTTGTTTAATATTTATTTTTATAACAAAAAATATCTCAACTAAAAACTTATAAACAGTTTTTATGAATAAAAAATGTCAAACAATAAAAATGAATAATGAATTTAAAAATTTAAATAGAAAATTAAGTTAAAATAACCAAAAAAACATTTGCATAAATAAAATGAATGAATTTAGCTGATAAATTATTTTAGAAAAATAATTTTTAAATAAACTGAAAGTTAAATATCAAGAAAATATTTATAAAATAAATATACCTCAGATCAATATGGAGAGCCTAATGAGATAAAAATGAAGAGCTTAAAAACTTTTTTTTTAGTAAAAATAAATTTAAAGTTTATTGATAAAAAAAAAAAAAAATAAATAATTACTTCTTCTAATTTGTTGTATTTAATCTATTATATCATTTATTTTTTACAAAAATAAATATTAAAATATTGAATAGAAATTTATGGAAATTTAATTAATTATAGGTGAATAAAAACAACAAATCAATTATATAAATTTATAAATTTGTCTTTAGTTAGATAGATCAATCAATCACAAAATAATTAGTGAAGTCAGTCAGTATTCATTATTAAATCTTAATATTTCTATTTCAATTGTGTACTTAAAAATACAGTAGGAACTAGAGATTGGACATAAATGATAATGAGAATGCGAACTCACTAACTAGAATTAAATAAATTTTTGATGTTTTAAGTGTATTTTTGTAAATAAAATCATTTTCATATTTTCAAATATCTTTAGAATCATTAAAATTAAATAAAAAAAATTAATACTATTAAAAAAACGAATAATTTTTAAAATATTAAATAAAATTAAAAATATGCAAGCAACCTTTCCTAAAATTTAATCTAGAAAAATATTTAATTTATTCTATTTTCATTCATTTTTGAATGAAATTTAAAATTAAATTTTTTTATGTTATTTTATTTAGAAAAATATAAAATATGTTTTTGATGCAATTCAAGGATAATATTTAAGATTAAAATATAGCTGGCATATACAAGTTTGGCATTTATATAATTAATTTAATAAGATATAGTTAACACTAAAAGTTTCAAATGATTTTTTCGTTTTTGGAGAAACCAAGAGGGTTGGCTTAAGAAAAATTT